TGTCTACACTGGCAGCAGATTGAGGGAAATTATTATTTCTCCTCTATTTAGTATTGGTGAGGCCACAAATGGAGTATTGCATCCAGTTTACCCTTTCCCCTGTCCCCCCCCCCCCCCAAAGGATGTGGACAAATTGGAATCCAATGGAGGGAAACAAAAATGACTAGCAGGCTGTGACACATGACTTATGAGGAGAAGCTAAGGGAATTTGGACGTATTTAGAATGCAGAATAGAAGAGAGTGAAGTGGGATTCAACAGCAGCCTTCAACTATTTTGAAGAGGGATTCCAAAGAGGATGGATCTAGGCTATTCTCAGTGGTGGCAGATGGCCGGACAATGACCAATGGTCTCAAGCTACAGTGGGGGAGCTCTAGGTTGGATATTAGGAAAAACTATTTCTGTAGAGGGTGGGGACGCTCTGGAATGGGTTATACAGGGAAATGGAGGAATCTTTATCCCTAGAGGTATTTAAGGCCAGGCTTGACAAAGCCTTGGCTGGGATGATTTAGTTGGGGTTAGTCCTGCCTTGAGCAGAGGATTGGACTATAGTTCTATGTTCTTTTTACTTTAGCCTCACAGTACAAGCTCAATTCAGTTGACCCAAACTTGCTGCCATAGCAGGAGTTGCAGTATAGACATATCTTTAAACTCAGGGGACACCGACACTGTGGAGCTATGTCAGGATACCGAAAGTATCCAAAATAGCTATTCCATATCTATTGAAGCAGCCCGTTATCTTGAAATATATTTCAAAATAATGGGTGGTTTATTCCAACATCCAGGTAACACTTATTTCACGAGGCTTAAGGGGCATTTCAGAATAGCCAGTTATTTTGAAATGTGGTGCTCTGTAGACAGCACCAAATTACAAAATAAGTTATTTCAAAATACACTCAAAATAAGCTATACAATTTGCATAGCGCAAATTGTGTAGATTATTTCGAGCTAAGGGTGCTGGTAGACACGCGCATAGTGCATGTCTAAACTACATCCCCTCTTTTGAAAGTGCAAATGAAAGGGGATTTAAATATCCTGTGCTTCATTTGCATAACTGTGTCACAGCGTTCTTTTGAAAAAGGATATTTTGAAAGTGAAACCGCTATCTAGATGCGGTTCTTTTTGGGGGAAAAAACCCCAAACCCTTTTTCCAAAAGAACCACATCTAGACAGCAGTTTCACTTCCGAAATACCCTTTTTCAAAAGAACGCTGTGACACAGTTATGCAAATGAAGCACAGGATATTTAAATCCCCTTTCATTTGCACTTTCGATCTGCCTAATTTACATCCCTCTTTTGAAAGTGTAGTTTAGACACACACAGTCTATATCCAGCATGAGGGTTGGAACATACCACCTCTCCATGCCACATTTTCTCTCTCCATTTCCCCTCATAAAGGGAAATGCTCTATATGTGGAAAACTTTAGAATTTAGAAACTTCAGATGGCATCTCTCTTTCCTGGATTTTTTATTCTCATATATTAGATATTTTAACTAAGAAATTAATGTACTTTTCACTTCTTTTATAACCTCTTTCCATCTGATTGTTCTTTGGTGAGATTGCACACATGGGACATAGTCCTCAGCTTGAGGACTATCTGACTATCAGGCATACCATGCCCATGCTACATTTGAAGCTATTTCTTGTTTCAAAAAGGTATGTCTACACAGCAGGACTAAAGCCAAATTAAGCTACACTGCTTCAGCTACACCAATTGCCCTAGCTTAACTCAGCTTTTGAGCTGTCTAAACAGCAGGAAGTGGAAGGAACAACACCAACTTCTCATACTCCTTGTGAAATGAGGGTTACAGGAGTCAGAGTAAGAAGTCCTCCAGCTGGACACGATTTCAAAATAAAGGCTTGTAATGTAGACATGCACTTTGTTATTTCCCAATAATGTCAGTTATTCTGAAATAACTGCTGTGTAGACATAGCCAAACGCAATGAGAGCTCCTAATTCGAATTAGATTGGGAGGCTCCATTTTGCACGTGTTAACATAGGGATATCCGCTAGCCTGTGATGAAGCTTCGTGGCTTTGCAGATTCGCCCTGTAGCCGCTGCAGAGGTACATCTGAGAACAAACAGCCACGTGCCTTTAGCGCACTGGGGACAACTGAAACAGACGGTACTCACCACTAGGATAGCGTTGAAGTGGTCGCTCTTCACCTTCCGGATTTGCACGCAGGCCGCGGGCGCTCGCAATCCTGCGCCATTGGGGAGGTTCGCGGCGTCTCCGTTAGGCAGGGAATTGTTGTTGCTGGGCGCGAGGCCCAAGGACGCCCGGTATAAATAGGTGTGGGTGAGCTTGCCCACCCCGGAGACCTCCACCAGATCAGGGGGTAAATGAGCTCGCGGGAGCATGCGCACGCTGAAGCGGCACTTCTCCCGCTGCGCCCCGGGGAAGCACCCGGCCCAGCCGCGCGAGGGGCTCGCTCCGCAGCGCACCAGCCTGGCGAGCAGCAGGAAGAGCAGGAAGGCCAGGAAGACGAAGGAAATGGAAGCGAGAGAGGCGATCAAGGAAAGGTTCAGGCTCGTGAGCTGCTCGTGTCCCTCCATCCCGTCCCCGAAGTCCGGGAGGGCCTGGGGAAGGGAGTCGGCCAGCAGGATGCCCAGGGCCACCGTGGAGGAGAGGGGCGGCTCCCCGTGGTCCCGCACTAGAACGACCACCTTGTGTTTGATGGAGTCCGTGGAGCTCATGGAGCGAGTGGTGCGGAGCTCCCCGGTGTCGGGCAGCACCCTGAAGAGGCTGGAGTCGGACGCCTGCAGCAGGTGGTAGGAGAGCCAGGCGTTCTGCCCGCTGTCCGCGTCATCCGCCACCACCTTGGTGACCAGGTGGCCGGCCTCGGCTAACCGCGGCACCACCTCCACCGCCAGCGAGCCGTTCCGCGTCCCGGGGTACAGGATGACCGGGGCGTTGTCGTTCTGGTCGGCGATGAAGATGTTCACAGACAAGGCCGCGCTCAGGGCCGGGGAACCGCTGTCCCTGGCTTCCACCTGGAAACGAAAACTCCTGAGTTGTTCGTAGTCTAAGGCGCGTTTTGCATAGATGGTTCCACTCTCCGAGTCCACGGAGACAAAACTGGCCAAGGCGCTACCCGCAACGTCCGTGTCCCTGAGCGCGTAAGAGATGCGGCCGTTCCCGCCCAGGTCCGGGTCAGAGGCTGACACCTGGAGCAGAGATGCCCCCGGCTGATTATTCTCCGCCACCGAGATGTTCCAGGCCTGGCTGGTGAACTGCGGAGGGTTGTCGTTCACGTCGGAGATTTGCACCAAGACGGTCTTTTGGGTGGCGATGGGCGGGGAGCCCAGGTCCGTGGCGGTGATGGTGATGTTATAGGCGCCGACCGCTTCTCGGTCCAGGGGCCCCTCGGTGACCAAACTATAGTAATTGTCGAAAGAGGGTTTGAGTTGGAAGGGGAGGCCAGCAGGGATCCGGCAGGTTACGCGCCCGTTCTCGCCTGGGTCTTTGTCCAGAACACTCAACAGAGCGATCACCGTGCCGGGCACGGCGTCTTCCGGGATGGGGCTGGAAAGGGACGTGACTGTCACCTCCGGGGCGTTGTTATTGACATCCGTGACCTCCACCAGCAGCTTCGCGGTGCTGGACATGCCAAAGGCCCCTTTGTCCCTCGCCTCAATGAACATCTCCAGGACGGGTCTCTGCCCGTCTAGGCTGCCGTTCACCTTCACCTCCCCGGTCTGGGGGTGGACTAGGAACAGTCTCTGGAGGTCAGCGGACGTGTTATTGCTAAAGGAGTATCTGATCTCTCCATTCTGACCTTCGTCTAAGTCAGTGGCGTGGACTTTGGTTACCAAGGTGCCACTGGGGGAGTTTTCCAAGATCCGTGCCCTGTAGAGCGAATGTTCAAACGCCGGAGCGTTGTCATTGGTGTCAAGAACAGTCACAATGACTTGGGCGTCAGCGGACCTCTGGGGATTCCCACCATCTTTGGCGGTGATGACTAGGCTGTGGGTGGATTGCTGCTCCCTGTCTAAGGTCTTCTCCAGCACCAGCTCCGGGTACTCACTCCCATCCCCGCGTGTTTGCATTTCCAGTCGGAAATGTTCGTTAGGGCTCAGAGAATAGGTCTGGACACTATTGGTACCTTCATCAAAGTCCTGGGCATTGGGGAGTGTAAACCGAGCCCCGGGAGATAAAAACTCGGCTACATTTAAGTGATATTCATTTAAAGGGAACTTGGGGGCGTTGTCATTTATGTCCAGTATTTTAAATTCCATTTTATAAAGCTCTAGAGGGTTTTCTAGCACAAGTTCGTAATTCAGAAAACAAGTAGTTTTCAATTCACAAACCTGCTCTCGGTCGATGGGTTCATTCACGGACAAAGCCCCCGTGCTCACATCTATATTAAAATATTGCTTACTTGAACTGCTGATCATGCGAAATTTCCGGAGTGAAAGTGCAGCTGCCTCTATTCCTAAATCCTTTGCTATATTCCCAACAGAGACACCACGTTCGGTTTCTTCGAAGATGGAATATTTTACTTGCCCATTCACGGTGTAGGAAATAAGGCAGAACACCATTAAATGGACCCGCATTCTTCCTTCCCTGGCTCAGCTCCCTGCAGACTGTTTCAACAGTGACATAATCCAAAGCGCTCAGCAAAGAGCTGGCGTGATCACACCAACGCAAAATGGTAAAATAGTAAAAAAATAGTTTTCTAAAATGTGGGGAAAGAGCCTGTGCTCTTCCTTATGCTCCCTGAAACCATCCCCGGGTTATCTGCTGCTGAGGCAGCCAGCCAGCCCCTATATCGCAGCTGGCTCCGCTGTACAGCCTGTGATGCGCTGCTATCACACTTGGATACCTTACTAGTGGACAGCGCCACCTAGGGGCCCAACCGCTGCCATGCCACCTCCTAACGAGCCCTCTTCGCTGCTGCGCTGGATTAGAGCAAAATGTTCCGAATATTACAGAATAAATAGATCGCTGCTTTCTAAAAGCCCCGGGAAACACCGCTGGGCTGGTTCCAAAATCTGGGCATAGTCCCGCAAACGGCAAACTCGCGGGAAATTCTCCCTGCCTGAGATCCAGCCGAGTCCTTGCACATCTGCAGCAGCCAGCAGCATGAGGCAGGGGAACCGCCCAAGCCATGCTGTCAGTACAGCTGGGGGTGGGCGGGACCGGGGAGAGGGAGGCGACCGCTCTCATTTAACAGAGCTCCCCAAAGCTCTAGCAAGCGCCTGGTTTAGTGCAAAATTCTTCCGCTCCTTAAGTCTGAAGACGGCAACGGTCGTATTCCCCTAGCTGATGTCACCGGGGTAATTTCCTCAGGAGCCCCTCCGCTTTCTGCTCGCCTCCGAGCTCGGGGCAATGGAAGGGGCGTCGGATCACTCGGGAGAAAGGCGAATGATCGTCGCACTAAGATTCCCATCCCGCGACCACTGAGGTCAAGGGCAAAGCTCCCGTTAACTCAGCGGGCAGGGGCAGGTCCGGCATTTCTAGCGGCAGGCCGCTGGCTGGCTGCACTGGGATCTGCTCCACTACACCAAGCTCTGTGCAGAGCGCAGGGCCCGCTCAGGGCTAGTTGGCCATCCTACTAAAAGTGGCACAGATCTCGAGGACTTTGCACTTCGTTCTGTGAATCAAGGGAGAGAAATACTAACGCTGGTGGGCGGGAGGCAAAACACGATTTATAACTCCGCGGGCATCCTTAGGATGTCGGGCCAACGGGAACTGAGGGAGCCAGAAAGACCTCGGGTTCTAAGGACACGCAGGGGGTCTGGATGAAAGGTGGGAGGTGCGGGAGAGCCCCTTTAAGAGACAAGAGGATCACAGGCACAGACCGTGTGTTATCCCGCTTGCCTGAGAGCAGAGCGCTGGAACTCCGCAAGGCTGCGTGGGACTGGGCTGCCAGCTGTGAGAAACCCCACGCTCCCCCCGCACCGCCGCGGGATGCAGTGGTTTGTTTTCACTCTGTGTTTTCAGACTTGACGTTATGAAAAACCGACAGCGTTTGGTCGAGTGACTCGGTGTTGGTGGATGTAGCGGGGTGACCTCAACAGCTCCCGTAGCTATGACTCCCGTGACGAGCTTACTTTGGGGGGCTCTTCCTCATGCAGATAGCTCCCCTGAAGCTCGTTTGAGTGACTGCTCGGGACCATGAGTGAGGAACGAGCCGCTGCTTAATGTTGCAAACCCAAAATTAATCCTCTTTTAACAGAAAACAACCGCAATATAACCGAAGTGCTCCAAACAGAAAAGTATTAAACGGTCACATCAACAACAACTATATTTGCCTTCGACAATGTTCACTGGTTAATGTAATCTCTTGCCTCAGTTTCACTTGCTGGGGTTTTCCCTTTCTAGCTATAAACCTTGCAAGGGCTTTCCAGTTCCCATTGCGTTCTCGTGCCGCTAGGTTAGAAACGCGCTGTACGGGGAATGGTTCCCAACAGGCCATAAAACCACCGACCTCACAGAAAACGTCTCTTCTTTCCTCCGGGAATTGGGGTGCTAGCTGCTATTTCGAAGGGAGAGCGATGCAGTCCTTACAGACCCCGGAGTGCTAAGTAAGAGAGTTTCTTCTGTCCACGCTGTCCTTCGGGGAGTGTCGCTCTGATGCAGGTATGGGCGGAAATGGAACCCGTGGAAATCGCGGAATCTAGAACTGGAAGGGCTCTCGAGAGGGCAGGCCCATCCCCTGCTCACTACAGGACCAAGCACTGTCTAGACTATCCCTGACGTGCGGCTGAGTAAGCAGCACTGACTTGATTTCCTGCTCCCTAGTTAAACCCCCGAAGAGCCAGCGAGAACCAGCCGACAGTGGCTGGGGGGAAATGGAACCCGTGGAAATCGCGGAATCTAGAACTGGAAGGGCTCTCGAGAGGGCAGGCCCATCCCCTGCTCACTACAGGACCAAGCACTGTCTAGACTATCCCTGACGTGCGGCTGAGTAAGCAGCACTGACTTGATTTCCTGCTCCCTAGTTAAACCCCCGAAGAGCCAGCGAGAACCAGCCGACAGTGGCTGGGGGGGCG